CCGAAGGAGGGGACATGCGACAAACCTCTAGTGCCCTGATAAGGGCCCTAGAGGTTTGTCGCATGTCCTCCTTCCCTTCGCGCTCGTAGGGTTTCGCGCCAGGGAAAAAGACCTTAAAACCCTATGACGCCCAAAAACCTGTGCTGGTAACGTAATACGCCTCTGGCTACGCATAGAATATCATAGAATGCGTGTAGTCCCTCGAAGGGATATACATCTCAATTGACTCAAGCAACCCTCTCCCCAAAAAGGGTGGTTAGCGAAACATCTGGACTGTGGGGCCACGATTACGTTACCAGCACAGTTTTTGGGCAGGCTATGGAGTCATCGTGGGACTAGTAAAACGCGTTCCCGAACAAAGGCGGTTACCCAAGTATCTGAAACCCTGCGAGCACCAAGGGAGGGGACATACGACAAACCTCTACGACCCACAGGCCCTCACAGCCCCTTAAAAGAAAGTTGGTTTTACCGAAACATCTGAACTGTGGGCAGGTTATCGGGCCACGCTTACGTTACCAGGAAACCCTAAACCCTAAAGGGAAACCCCTACTAACAAGAAACCCTAAACACTAGAAGGAAACCCTAAACCCTAAAAGGAAACCCCTCAACCCTAAACGGAAACCCCTAAACCCTAAACCCTAAAAGGAAGCCCCTAAACCCTAAACCCCAAAAGGAGAACCCTAAACCCTAAATGGAAACCCCTAAACCCGAAACCCTAAACCCTAAAAGGAAACCCCTAAACCCCAAACCCTAAAAGGAAACCCCTAAACCCGAAACCCTAAACCCCAAAACGAAACCCCAAAACCCTAAACACTAAACCCTAAAAGGAAACCCTAAACCCAAAAATGAAACCCTAAACCCTAAACGGGAACCCCTAAACGCTAAACCCTAAAAGGAAACCCCGAAACCCTAAACCCTAAACCCTGAAAGGAAACCTTAAACCCTAAAAGGAAACCCCAAACCCTGAACCCTAAAAGGAAACCCGAAACCCTTTCAGGAAACCCTGAACCCTAAAAGGAAAAGTTGGCCAAGTGAGCCTGGAAAACGTTTGCTAAGTGATGCCAACGATGCTGGAAGCCTTTCTGTTGAGGGACTGGGAGGGCCTGCGGTTCTTAGAGGTTTGTCGTATGTCCCCTCCCTTGTTGCTCGTAGGGCCGTAGGGTTTCAGATATTTGGGTAACCACCTTTTTTCAAGAACGTGTTTTACTAGCCCCATTGCTGGTAACGTAAGCGTGGCCCCATAACCTGCCCACAGTTCAGATGTTTCGGTAAAACCAGTGTAAAACCCTAAACCAACTTTCTTTTAAGGGGCTGTGAGGGCCTGTGGGTCGTAGAGGTTTGTCGTATGTCCCCTCCCTTGGTGCTCGCAGGGTTTCAGATACTTGGGTAACCGAACGCGTTTTACTAGTCCTACGATGGCTCCATAGCCTGCCCAAAAACTGTGCTGGTAACGTAATCGTGGCCCCACAGTCCAGATGTTTCGCTAACCACCCTTTTTGGGGAGAGGGTTGCTTGATTCAATTGAGATGTATATCCCGAGGGACTACAGGCATTCTATGATATTCTATGCATAGCCAGAGGCGTATTCACAACCCTTATGGAGCCACGATTACGTTACCAGCACAGGTGTTTGGGCGTGATAGGGTTTTAAGGTCTTTTTCCCTGGTGTAAATCCCTACGAGCACGAAGGGAGGGGACGTACGACAAGCCTCTACCTACAGACTCCAAAATCCAGAAAAAAGTAGGTCGCTTGGGAGAACCAGGGTTTGGGGAGAAGAACGCGGTTCCCGAAAGAAGGGTTTTGCACGATGGGTTTTTACGGGTTCCCGACGGGTATATACGCGTTTCCGACGGGTTTCCGACGGGTTTTTTACGGGTTCCGAATTGTAGAACCAGGTTATCGTTGTAGAAACGCGGTTTTGAAAACTTGGGCCTCCAAAACCAGGCTTCCGTATGATGACCCACTTTTTCTTAGGTTCTGGATTCTCTAGGTAGGGCCCTTATCAGGGCACTCGAGGTTTGTCGTATGTCCCCTCCCTCGGTGCTCGTAGGGTTTGGTGATGGCGTGAGCTATGCGGTCGCTGGTGGGAGCTATTTTTAAACCTTTAAAGTGTTTCACAACTTTGTTTGCTCTGCGAACAGGTTCTTTGGTTTAAGTCCGGGGCGTCGGGTTGGGTTCAGAAGTAAATTGTGATGTTTACTTATTCCCAACATCCGAAGGGTTGGGTTTCTATCTCTAGAGGCGGGGGGCCATATATCATATATCACGAACGGAGCGGAACGGAACGCCAGAATGGAACGGAACTTGGTCATCTTTGTCTTGCTGGCTGTTGGGTTGCACAGCTGGGTTAATTCTGATATTAGTGTTCCTGTTATTCGTTCCGTTTCCAAACTAGTTGCTTCCTTTATCACTTTTTACAGAACCGATGACCCAAGTTTGGGCTATGAGTACGCCAATAAGCGCATCTGTCGTTTTTTTCATCTTCATCAGTCTCACGATTCCGCTGTAGAAGGAATTTATGACATCAACAAAGATTTAGAGTTCCAAATTCAATTGGGTTCTAAACTGTATCCTGAAAATATATTCCAATTCATTAACTCAGTGCTTCTATCATTTACGAAAAAGGCCTTAAATCTTTCAGTCTTTCATCAGCCCAGCATAGTATCTCAATTGGTTTTAGGCAGTATCGGGATAGACAGTTTATTTTCGGTTTCTCATTTGAAAAAGTCCCTGATAGCAGTTATACAGGAATTAACACAAGAGCCGGACAACAGATGTTAATTAGGGTTAAACCAGCGGGAACAGCAATTCCGGTCGATGATATGCCCGATGAGCTTTTTGTCACGCTTCTTAGCGAACAGATCCTAGAAATAAACTATTTGGGGCTGAAGGTATTTGGTTAGGCGTATTGAAAAATCATTTAAAAATGTTTTAAGCAAATAACACTTTATAGTAATATATGCCAGAAAAGAGAACAAAAGATTATGCTAATGGTAGAATATATGCGATTTACAACTACATTGACCCGAGTTTAATTTATGTTGGGAGCACCTGTCAAAGCTTAAGCAAAAGATTATCAAAGCACCGTCGCGAAATCAATAGTAGAAAATCACAGACTATACCACTTTACGTTAAAATGCGGGAGATTGGGAAGGAGCATTTTTATATGGAGCTAATAGAAGAATACCCGTGTGAAAACAACGACCAGTCAAGAGCACGAGAAGGTTATCACATAAGGAAGTTAGGAACATTGAATGGATTTATAGAATGTAGAACCCGCAAAGAATGGGAAGCAGAAAACCAACAGTATTTAAAGGGTTATCGTAAGAAGCGATGGTTAAATAAGAAAGAAGAAGTAACAAAATTGAATAAGCAAAGATTTACTTGTGAATGTGGCGTAGAAATGAGTAATGCCTCAAAATCCCGCCATCAATACTCAACAAGACATCAAGCATATCTAAACCAACAGCAAAAATACATTAACATTCTAATAATAATTTATCCAATTATTATTATAATGACATTAACATTAAACAATACAAACACATTGACAGCAAACGAGATTCTAGTAAATGGAACGAACCTAAGCGACTTATACGCCACAAAGGGTGAAGTCGGAAACAATGCGCAAATAACAGCAAACACCGACGAAATAGCAATCTTCAACACAAAACAATTACAAAATTTCAACAATATTAATGCTATTAACACCGATTTATCTAACAATAATCCAACGAACACACAACTAGCTACCAATTTTACAACAAAACAGAGGTAGATACAACACTAACAAATTTTTATACATCAGCACAAATAGACACAAATCTATCTACCAACTATCAAAACAACACAATTCTAGCAACCAATTTTTACAACAAAACTGAAATAGACACAACGTTAAATAGCTATTACACATCGGCGCAAATAGATACTAATTTGTCTACTAATTGTCAGACTAACGCACAATTAGGTACAAATTATTATAACAAGGGTGAGGTAGATACATTAATAGCAGGTGCTGGTGGTGGCGGTGGCTACACCGATACGGAAATTGATAATTTATTAGATTTAAGAGTTCCTAAATCAGACTTTACCAATAGATTTTCTACATTTCCCATTATTGATTGTAGCGCTCCTACTATTCACAGTGGTTTAACATTAAACAACGAGACGATAAATATATCGCCAACTACAGGGTTATTATTTAATAATCAAACAGGCGGAGGGGATAAAATTATTAGTGTATTTAAGAATGCTACAAATTACATAACTTTACAAGGAAATAAAATCAATGCCAATGCTACAAGCGACGAGAGCGTTGTAGATTTAAATTTGAACCCATCGGGAAATATTAATATGAATAACGATTTAGCTGTAAATAATGTAAATGTTACAACTACTGTAACAGTCGGTGGTGAAATTGGTTTAGCAGGCAGTTTAACAGTAAAGGGGGATATTGAATTAACCAACGCTAACACAAGTATTGAAAGATATACTAACGCCACAAAATCTAACATATCAGTGGATTTATCAATAAGTGAAACAGCGAGTGCTATAAGATTGATTAACGGAGCCAATGACGATACCGACACAAATACTTATGTAGAATGCAATAATACAACAGGAGGAACAACATTATTCAAACCAACATATTTTGAAGATCGTATATATTATGAAACTGATAATTTCAATATTTCTAATACTTCAGGATTAACAAGATACAACGCAATCGTAGTTTAAGACGAGTTGGCGAATCCCTTGCTCGGGAAGAGTCTTGGATCAACAGGCATGAGTGGAGCTGTAGAGATTAAGTGCCGGTGGTGTGGGAAGCCGGGTCCCGAGATACGCGCAAACAATTCGTGTGGTGTCTGTCGTTCTCTTGATAGGGTCCGAGGATTATGCAACCGGCTTCCCATTACTGCGAGCCCAGCTGTGTTAGGCAAGCTTAAGGAGCTTGAAAGTACCCTCAGGGATTGGTTGCCTTTCGGTGGACCCCCAGATGATTTCGAGCAAAAGCGTGAGCTTTCACCTGAGCCTGTCAGCCTTGCACAAGCCCTTAAAGCTACACCTAAGAGCGCGAGCCATAGCACTGCCGAGCCAGCCTCATCCGATCCGCCATTTGAGAGTGGGGGTCACGGGCGAAAGCGCAAGAAGAAGAACAAGGGGCGAAGCCGCCAATCTTGGAAAGCTGCTCGTGACGCTATTGCTCTTAGCCGTTCAGAGCTGGCCGATCCTACCGCGGAAGACCGCGAGTTCACGTCCGATTCCGAGCTGGATTGAAACTGGTCTGCATCTATATGGGTCCCCAGAGGAAACCTTCGACTCGGCATCGTTCGAGATCCCGCCTCCCATTCTGCGACGTAGACAGTTCAAGAAGGGCATTCCTTACGATTATCAGGGCCGGCTCTCACGTGGGGATACCTTGGCTTTGAGCATAGTTCCTTTGAGTTTTTGGGAACCCGGTAGGAGATATCAAGTCAAAGGGGACTATTGGGGAAAGACAACGTTGATTTGTGGGACTTTGGAGACTTTGGCAGTAAGTCGCACCGGTTCATACTTGTATTTGACCCTCAGTGGCACTGACAATCTTGAGCTGCAGCGATGGGCCGAGAACCTCACAGTCAACGGCCAGCCTCCCGAACTGACAATCCACATATGCCCCCCAACATGTCCGAGGACGGCAGTGGCAGCTTCATCAATGCATGGCATGGAAGTGTCAAGAGAGGACAGTGGGGCAGTTTGGGCCCGAAACGTCGAGAGTCTTCCCCAAGGCATGGTTCCTGCGCCAGGGGCAGGCTTGGAACAAGAGTTAGCCGCACTAGCAGGAGGAGTCCCCATAGACACCGGGAAACAAGCCGCTCGCCACTCCCCAGACAAAGACCAAGTCAAAACCGGCTCCCACAGCTACAAAGGCACTCCTTTGGACCCCCAAAAGAAGCTCAAGAGTTTTCTGAAGAAGAAGAAGAAGAGGGAGAAGAAAAAGGGGAGCCGCAAGATGAAGCACAAGAAGGACAAAGCAAGTGGGAAGAATCAGGAGAGCAGCTACAGCAACACCAGCACCAGCAGCAGTGGGAGTACAGCGGACTCTCAAGACTCTCATCCCTTTCAAGATTCCCATCGGGTGAAGAAACTAGCGCGCAACAAGCCTGGGGTGTTGATTCGGCATGCTTTGGACGAAATGTCACGCCTACTCGTAGAGGATACAGGCGAGGAGGGAGCTCACAAGGTAGCCCCAATCGTGCTGAAGTATGTGCGTCTTCATCTGGCAAACAAGGGCATGAGTCCAGGGGTGAAGAGAGAGTTGCTCACAATCGCCTACACGCTAGACCAGTTGATTCGGCGCAACATCTTGGGTGGTCTCGACATTTTAATTCAGCGGCTGAAGGCTATAGAGTTGGTGGTCGCCGGCGCAGCTTGGGCTGTGGCTCAGAATGTCGAGCTGGTGCCTCTAGAGCAGGAGCGAGTGGCAAGCGTAGCAGAAGCACACGAAGCAGCGAAGGAGTTCAAGCAAGATTCCAAGGTTTGGAGAGAACTGGGCAAAGGCAAAGGGCAGCTTCCCTGGAAAGGGGATTGGAAAGGCAAGCCCGGGGACAAGGGAGAGAAAGGAGATGGCAAAGGGAAATGGTGGGCAAAGCAGAGGGGAGAGCGAGAGAGATACGCAGCAGCCAAGGTGGAGCCCACCAGACCAGCTTGAGAGAGGGTGTTCCTAGCTCTCCTTTAAGTAGGAGGGTAAGGGATGCTCCTCGTGGATGGTCTCCAAGCGCAGGAAGCAGATGCGTGGGGGCGTCGCTGGCGGCGTCAGCCGCCGAGAGGCCTTCTTTAGCAGGTTTGGTTTCAGAACAGTCGGACGAGGTATTGTTTCCAGAGTCGTCGAGAACTTTAGGAAGGTTTTTGATGGAATATGCTCTGGGCAGTGGTACTTCTACTTTTGCCAAGTGGTTGCAAGATTTCTGCGAGGGGAAGGGAGCTTCCATGGCAGAGGGAACAACTGAAAATAAAAACATCTTCCCTCTGCCCCTGCCCAGCGCAGTCGACTTGGTAGATGCTTTGGATACACATCAGGACGAAGATTTGTGGGTGTATCTGTTGGTGGCTAGCCTAAATTACATGCACGGGGGAAATGGCGCGCATTTCAATCAGCGACCTCCTTCTACAGTCCAGAAACTATGTCTGGATTATCTACGTTCCAGAGTACAAGCTTTCATGTCTCACAGTTTCACGTTGTCAGAGTTTGATTGGAAAGATTTTTTCAGCACGCAGAGTTTGAACTATGTTGGGGATGAAGTCAAAACAGCGAAATGGACTACATGGGCGAATTTAGAGCCAGCCCTGCCTTATGGGCACATCGGGGCCATCAACGTCCTTGACTTGGCGGACGGAGGAGTGCGAGAGCTTCTCATGGACCCGCTTCAGTTTCTCAAGCCTCGATGGGATGAGCGGCCGGTGCGCTCCTCAAGGGTGATGGTGCAAGAAGCAGCTTGGGGCGAAGTGGCCCGCGGCTTGGTCAAGTACAACTTGTGCGCAGTTCTGCCAGAGAGTGCGTTGGTTGCACCAGGTGGGGTGCCACTTCGAAATGGCCTTTTTGGCATCGAGAAAGGAGAGGTTGCCAACGGTCATGCTGTGCACCGTCTTATTATGAATTTGGTGCCGTTCAACACCGTCTCCCTTTCCATTGAGGGGGACGTGGGAACACTTCCCATGCTTTCGCAGATGAACTGCCTCCAGTTGCATCCTCAAGAGTTCCTTGTCGTCTCTTCTGAGGATATACGCTGCATGTACTACCTCTTTGCCTTGCCAAGCTCATGGTATCCATTCCTGAGTTTGAACATGCCAGCACCGCAAGACCTGGTGCCACCACATGTGGAGGAACCATGCTTTTTGGTTTCCAAAGTGCTGCCTATGGGCTACTTGAACTCCGTGGGCATCGCCCAGCACCTGCACCGAAACCTCATCACACGAGCCCAAGGTGGCCCTACCCGGTGCGTCCCTTGGGCAGAGCTCCGAAAGGATAGAGCGTGGTCGCAGGCCAACCCTGTTTGGCGAGTTTACCTGGACAACCTAGATGTGCTCGAACGGGTGCGTCCTGAACTCGCGGTCATGTTGGAGGGCTCCCTCAATAATGACCTCAAACCGCTCATTCAAGAGTACGAGGAAACCGGCGTCCCTTTGAATGCGAAGAAGTCGGTCAAACAATCCACGTTCGCAGAGGTTCAGGGTGCCGAGATTGACGGCAAACTAGGTTTGGCCCGCCCCAAAGGCGACAAGTTGGCAAAGTACACCAGCGCAGTCTTGAGTTTGCTCCGCCGAGGATGGTGCAGCCAACGGGAGATGCAAGTTGCAGCTGGCGGCTTGGTCTATTTCGCAATGTTCCGTCGTCCCTTGATGAGCGTCCTGAATTTCGTGTGGCGTTTCATCCAGTCCTTCGAGATTACCAGGCAACGCCGCTTGCCAATCCCCACGGGAGTTCAGTCAGAATTGCTTCTTTTTCTGGGCCTTCTTCCTCTTGCTCACATTGACTTCCGAGTTGTTAGCTCAGACATCGCTACCGCCAGTGACGCATCATGTTTGGGCGGGGGAATTTGCGCAAGTGATGGTCTGACCGAGCTTGGAGCAAAGGTGGCTGTAGCGCCTTTTCGCGGACAACAACAGGGTGATGTTCCGGATGCCGGCCTGGTGTGCATCAGCCTGTTCGATGGAATCAGTGCGGCCAGAGTTGCCTTGGAGGTCTTACAAGCCCGGGTCTGCTTGCAAGTGTCGGTGGAGCCCGACCTTTCAGCTCGGCGTGTCGTGGAAGCCAACTTCAGCGATGTCATTCACGTTGCCAAGGTGGAGGACATCACTGCGGAGATGTGCCGGGAATGGGCCAGCAAATCAACTCGAGCCTCACTGGTGCTACTCACTGCAGGTCCACCGTGCCAAGGCGTCAGCTCCTTGAATGCCCATCGAAAGGGGGCCATGGATGATGAACGCAGCCGATTGCATTTTGCCGTCCAACATGTTCTCAGCCATGTGCGAGAAGCTTTCCCCTGGTGCCGTACTGCTTTCTTCCAAGAGAGCGTCTGGAGCATGGATGCCGAGGACAGGAAAGTGTATACGCAAGCGGCTCAGGTCCTCCCCTATCGGGCCTGTTGTTCCGGGATGGTTCCGTGCAAGCGGGACCGCCTTTACTGGTTTGACTGGTCCCTCGAGTCCGAACCAGGTGTCACGCTGTATCCCCCTCCAAATTCGGCTGCAGAATCATATGGCCAAGTCGTGTTCAACACAGATGTGGACACAAGCGGGCTCTTCAAGCCAGGATGGGCGCCGCCCACAGGAAAGACGCCAGGCACTTTCACCACCGCACAGCCGTCGCTGCTGCCCCGCCCATGGCCAGCAGGCCTCGCACGTTGCGATGAGTCCACTTTGCAGCGATGGCGGGCCGATCGGCACCGTTTCCCTCCTTATCAATACCGGCCCGCTGCATTGCTTTATCATCCCGACCGCCCGGAAGGTCGTATTCCCGACGTGCAGGAGCGAGAACGACTGCTTGGATTCCCGGTGGATTACAGTTTCACCTGTTTGCCCAAGAATGAAATCAAAGCCAACCCGCTTCGACACGAGGACGTGAGGATGACCCTCCTAGGCAACAGCTGGTCGGTGCCTGTGGTTGCCTACTTCTTTCTTCAGCTGCTAAAGCCGCTCCGACTCTGCCGACTCAGCTCTTTGCGTGACGTGCTGCTCACCCTGTTCACAGAGGAACCCATTTCGGGCGAGGCTCTCCTTTCTTGGAGGGCCCTCCGGCACTCGACAACTGCTAAGTCCCCTCAGGTGCCCAACGCAGCCCTGTCCACCTCCCACGCGGACAGCGCTTCGCAAGTCTCGCCCTCTCACTTAACTACTCAGTTGGCAACCTTGGCATCCATGAAAGGCGAGGATGTACTCATCCAGATGTCTCACGATGCCCGGATTCCTCAAAAGTTTCGCCGCAGCGTCCCAGTCGAACTGTGGACATGGAAAGAGATCTGTGGATGGCGATGGGCTGCGCAATCCACAGAGCATATCAATCGCCTCGAGCTGCGAGCAGTGTACACATCCCTGCGATGGCGCCTGTTGAGGCGCAAGGAAGTCCGAACCAAATTCGTCCATCTGACCGATTCCTTAGTTTCTTTGCATGTCATCAATCGCGGACGGAGTAGTTCAGTCAAAATCCAAACTTTGATGTATCGCGTCGCGTCCCTGCTTTTGGCCACTGGCTTCCACCCTTGCCTCGCTTATGTCTCGACTCACACCAATCCCGCAGACCGCCCGTCCAGGCGGGCCCGTGTCCGCAAGAAATGGTCAAAGTGACCACCGTTGCTGCAGGTCGAGACAAGCAAGCAAGGAAAGCCGCCCGCTCGGCGCTGGGTACGCTACGCGAAAACACAGTTGCTCCAAAAACTCGGGAGCGCTACACCGCCGCTTTAACGATTTTTTTCTTCTTTTGTCGGTCTCACCAGCACCGTGTCCCAGATGACCCGGCTCGCCTGGATCTTCTCCTAGGCGACTACATCGACTTTTTGTGGCAGGACGGCGAAAGCTTGTCCCTCGTCACCGATTGTCTTTCCGGGTTGCAGGACCTCAGGCCTCTGTTGCGGGGCCACTTGCCTTTGTCATGGCGCTTGGTGCGTACGTGGCAAAAGCACGAGATGCCAGCAAGAGCACCTCCGCTCCCGGAAGAGCTGCTTCAGAGTATGGCCGGTTTTTGTAGTATGCAGGGTCGCCACCTTTTTGCATTAGCCTTGCAAGTCGCTTTCTATGGAGTACTGCGGACCGGAGAGCTCCTGGCCCTGCAGGCTCGACACGTGGATGTGTCCGAAAGAGGAGACTTCGCAGTTCTCAATTTGGGCTACACAAAAACGTCGCAGAGACTGGGTGCAGCCGACTCTGTCACCCTTAGAGTCTCTTATCTTTGCCAGCTTTTGAAAGTCTGGAAGCAGCGCGTGAAGCCTCACGCGTTCTTGGTCCCTACGTCCGCGTACTTGTTTCGCAAAACTTTTGACGACTGCCTCAAGGAGTTGCAGATCCATACGTGGGCCTTCCGCCCTTACAGTCTTCGGCGCGGCGGAGCTACCGCGTATTTTCGCAAGAATCCCAGTTTTGATTTCGTACGGCAGATGGGCCGTTGGTCCAGTGATCGTACTGCGCGTATCTATTTGAATGATGGCCTAGCTCAGCTCGCCACCATGGAGTTCAGCGTTGCGAGGCCGCCTCTTCAGCGGCCTTTTCAGTTCTTTCAGTCGCAGCTTCGCCGCGATCCCTGCGGAACAGGAGGGGGACGTGGATAGCGCCATACTTGGGGAGACAGGCAGCAAGTGAAGAGGACCTAAAGAAAGCTTTCTTAGTAGACCTGTGAGTCCTTACGTTAGCTATTCAAGTTCGGTCCTGTTGCGTGCTGCCTTGACTTGTGAGATTTGTAAGTCTCCCAGATGGCAAGATTTGTAAAACTATCCGGGGTGGCAGATTCTTTGTTGACAAACACTTCTCCTCGCAGAGACAAAAGAGGGAAGAGCCAATCCGAGTCTTAGATACAACGCAATCGTAGTTTAAGACGAGTTGGCGAATCCCTTGCTCGGGAAGAGTCTTGGATCAACAGCCCGCCCTCTCCGCCCTGTCGCAGGCGCCGCGGCTGACTGTCTCGCTGGTTCCTTTCTGTTTTTCCCTCCGGATAGCGCCATACTTGGGGAGACAGGCAGCAAGTGAAGAGGACCTAAAGAAAGCTTTCTTAGTAGACCTGTGAGTCCTTACGTTAGCTATTCAAGTTCGGTCCTGTTGCGTGCTGCCTTGACTTGTGAGATTTGTAAGTCTCCCAGATGGCAAGATTTGTAAAACTATCCGGGGTGGCAGATTCTTTGTTGACAAACACTTCTCCTCGCAGAGACAAAAGAGGGAAGAGCCAATCCGAGTCTTATATATAAACCAACAACAGACGCCAGTAATGTTGTAGCAATTGCCAATAATAGTGGGAAATTAAGATTTAGAGGTTTTAGCAATGATGCGTATAATACAAATGACTCGTCACAACCGTTATTTTTAAACATGAATAATAGTAACGCGGCGAGGTGCAATAAATTAGGAATCGGAGCTAATGCCGTTGTAGATGTTCTAAACGTTAATGGTGGTAATTCTAATTTTAGTTCAACGGTAAGGTTTAACGGTGCCACTACTTCTGACAATGAAACGTTAATATGGAATAATAGCAACATATATAGGAGAGCAGATGCCAATAATTCATTAAATTTAATAACAAACGAAGAAATAAATTTCTCATTGCAAGTAAACAGAGCTACTGACCCAACAACAGCAACCATAGCGTTGCAATTAACGGACACTAACGGAATAACATTAAATAGAGCGGTCACAAATAATTTAACTTTTAACAGTATAGGAAGAATAACAGCAGAATCAGATTTAGGTGTGTGGGGAGAGTTGTTTTTCCAACATTCCTCATCAATAAAAGAGACACTGAACGGTAGCGATTATGATTTAGATATAAGGAATGGAGACACGGACAGAGCAATTAATCTGATTGTAGGAACAATAGGAAGCACACCAGAAATTCAATTAACGGAAGGAAAGGTAAATTTATTAGGTAATTTGGAAATAACACGCGGTGATATAACAGGACAGCAAAGGGTTTTAATAAATAATCCAGATGACAACGGATGCATGCGATTAAGTAATAATAATTTATCAAGATTAGATGCCACAAATAGTGGCGTAGATGTTTATGGTGACCTTTCATATACTGGATCATTAATTCCTTCATCAGATAAAAGACTAAAGAAAGATATAAAAGAGAAAAATAGAAAAAAAGCAGTAGAACTAGTAAAATATATTACGCCCAAGACGTATCATTTTGTTGATGACAGACTACAAGGTAAATCATGTTGTGGCTTTATTGCCAATGGTTTTATGGAATCCAAAAAGATGCCAGATGAATGGCAGAATTTAGTAAAGGAAGGAACAGATGGTTATTTGAAGTTTGACTACACAATTACTACACCGATTTTATGGAGTGCTTTACAGAATGCATTAAATAGAATAGATAAATTAGAAAAAGAGGTAAACAAATTAAAGAAGAATAAGAACGATGGTGATTGAAAAAATATTAATTTAAATAACAATATAGAATGGGAGCTAAATCCTCAAAATCTTGTGCCACAGAAAACATGAATCAAATAAAGAGTTAGATATAAATGAAAAAACGAAAACGGATGTATTATTATTTAACACTTTGAAGGATGTTATTGAAAGAGCTGAAAAGTTAGAAGAGAGGAAAAGCGACAAAATATATTACACACTACCACCTGTAACATTATGCAATTATTCAATAATATAATTAGTAATATTACAAATAAATAATATTATCAATCAATAACTAGTTTAGCATCAAATCTTTCATAAAACATATCATTTACATCTGCTTTCATTAAGTTTATAAACAGGAAACTGTAAGGTTCTTCGGTAGCTAGATTATACACTTCTAATAATAACTTCTTTGCTTCTGCGAGATTCTTAGTATCTGCTACTGTTGATTTCTTAATACTGCGCTTAATTCTCAACCATTGTCTCAATCTCTTTGTAGTTTCTCAACCTGAAGAAGAACAACTGACGACTGTTGACACGAATAATTGGAGACAAGGCATTAAATTTCTGTGTGCTTGTTATGATGTTGAGACTGTTGTGTCTCCCGCGCACGCACGACTGATTTAATAATGGGCTATTGCGCGAGAACGCTTTTGAATCAGCAAAGTCATCCACTATTATCAGCATTGAGAATAATTTCTTATGGTCGTTCTTCTTCTGGTACTCAATGACTTTATGCTGTCTTTTTATTGCAGCCCCTAATTCTTCTGTTATGTATTCGTCAAATAAACACTTTTCTTTCTCTAAGTTAACCTTCAAATTTTCCTGAATGTATCTTTAACTGGTGTCCAATTGTTATCAACCGAAATTGAAGGGGGCCAAATATAGATGCGTTCAAACACATCCCTGTAAATATCTAGTATCATTGACTGTAATAACATACCTTTACCAGAACCTGAGGGACCTGTTATTATTTGACTAAATGGTAGTCTCGGTGCTATTTCACACTTAGGTTGTTTAAAATCATATTCTTTAACATTAACTGGTTTGACTATAGGAGTCATAATTATTATTATTACATAGAAAGTGTATGATTTAAATATAAAATGGATAAACACATAGAAGTCATAAATGAAATAGAAAAACTAGATGAAGTAATAAAGACTCCAAGATATACAATGTGTTGCCACAGTCTTTTGGAGTTTCTTAAGGCAGTGTGCTATTATCTTAAGAATGTTAAAAAATCTAGTTAATGTAAATGAGCGATACATCACATGACAGTGGAGGAAGAGATAAAGGTCTCCATATTGATAAAAAAGGCTTTCATTGTATACCTTGCCGTTGCAAAAGGCAGTTTTATCATAAGGAAACGAAGACAGTTATCGAAAACAATATAGTTACAACAGATACTGTTATTGATAAATGAAACATCAAGATTGGTAGTAATGGGAGACATACGAGTCCCGACGATATTTTTAGAGATGAAGACAGATTACAGGCAGGTAGTGTTGAAATATGTGATACAGGCTGGGGTAAATCACAGATTACACCAGAAGAACTTGAGGAAAGGCTGGATAAATGCGAGACAGACATAGTTGAAATTAAAAAGGACATTGAAGACATAGCTAAACATGAGTTACATAAATTGGATTAAAAAAGTAAAACATATTATATATTTGACGGCTCGCAAAGAGGTCTCGCGTGCTTCGCGACAGAGTACGGTCCGCCCAGTCCGATTTCAACGAAGGAGAAGAAGACCCCCAAGACCCCACAAGCCTATGGACGGAGAAAGGGAAGTACCTGATACATTGGCTTTAATTTGATACACATAAGATGTATCAGCTAATTAGTTTGATGCATCGTTAAATCTTGAGGAAAATGGATATTTCATAACATTTCGTTATGTTATGTTATATTTTGTTAGCTAATTATATAATGCTTGTTGTATTTGGAGAAGCGAAAGAGTTCAATCAACATCTCATTGAATGCAAGAGGTGCAAAAAGGAATATCCGAGTAATAGCTTTGTGATTGTGAGCAACAATAGTTATTCATCTAACTGTAAGAACTGTAGAGAAGATTTAAGAAAGGAAGGCGAGAGAAGGAAGATTCAGAAGGTCTTACGTGCGCGTTAAAACTTTTAAAACTTTTAATCTGGGTATGTATATATGAGTGATTGCTCGGCAGAAATCAGAAGTCCTATCAAGAAATTAAAAGAAGAAGTTAAAGAGTTAAAAGAACTAGTTGGCAGTCTCGTTGAAAGAGTTGTAAAGTTGGAAGGTAATAAGGAGAATATTAAACCTAGCAATAATAAACCTAATATTATAGATGCTAACTATAATAATCGCAGGAGTGCCTATATAAGCAAACTTAAGAATAAGGACATTAACCAACCCAAGAACCCAAGAAAGAAACAATGAGATATTACCATGTTGTATATGATGCGGATAAGGATTTTTATTTTTGAACCATTCAAGGAAGAAAATATTTAAAGACAAGAAGACTTTTATATTAGAGTATGAACAGGAAAGAGTGTAAATCCTGTAGTGCCACCAAAGAGTTATCAGAGTTTGGTGGATTTGAAACTTGTAACAGATGCCGTGAGGCAAAGAGAAAAGGTAGGGAAGAATATAACCTAGTTAGAAGACAAGAAAGAGAGAAATGGAGTAGGTTTTGTGAAGAGTGTGGGCGAAGAGTCAAGCACGAAAACTGGGATGTTCATTTTTACTTCGGAACGCATCCAAATTCTGAACTATACAACTTACGAGAAGAACTGTTTTCAAAACTGAGAGAGTTGAGAGAACAGGGGGGCTTACAGATGAGATACGAGAAGGAATGTATATGGAATACAGGAAACAACAGCCCGAACTCTACAAAAAACTACATAAGATGTTCCCAGACAAAATCACATTAATTGAGCCAGAAACAACATCAACGCGAACTTTTGAACACATAGAATATCTTGAATCGCTACAGCCCCTTGATGAAATCCAGTAATTGGTACAACATAATAAAAATATGTTGTATGATCTACTGCACCCATGCCCCGAATCACCCAAAAACCCATAAATTCTATCAACCTAGGTTTGCCTATTGGCAAGATGGTCTTGGAAAACCCCTATTTGATTAGGCTTATGTAAAGTAGGTGTAAAAGCGTAGGGGGGGGGGGGGGTATGGGTTGCAAGACCATCTTACCGACAGGCGAGCCCCCCGCTAACTGTGTTGGGGGGGTATTCCTCGGCAAAGCAGCAAGCAAGCTCAACAGGGTGAGTGTACCGCAAAGGCCTAAGGCCTATATTGTTTTGAGGCCCTTTCTTTTCACTCTACTTTGACCTGCATCACATCCAGGCGATCTTCACGCTGCCAACCGACCCACGAGCTGGGTTGAGGCATGCGGAGTTCGGACTGTCCACGGAAATTTAGACGGGCTTTCGACGTGCTATTTGGCTTGTCAGGTGGAGGGGGAAACCATGGAGGATCTTCAGCGAGAGTTGGAGGCACCTCGCAGTGTTTTGTTGGCGCAGACCGCAATTCGCAAGGGTGACGCCCACAGGTTGTGACCTGTCCGAAGCCCTGCATGTCTGTGGAGATCCAGACGGAAGGCGATGCTGAAGCAGTGCCAGAGGACAGCTCTAGCGACTCTTGTGGGGCTGTTCTCAGCTGCTCCTGCAATGACCTGACGAGGATTGCGCGGATCGCTGGTTCTCTGGCTTTGTTGACACACTTCCGACCCGCAATGCTTCCAACGCGAAGGCGACTGTGCAGACAGCTCTCGCATGCTCTCAACTCACCATCACCAGTATTTCGTGGGATGTCCGATGTTTCTCCTTCCGAAGGTTGTCAACGAGCTGAGCGCAGAGGCTGGCTCAACGTAGTAGCTGCCGTGATCTTTCGGAATGTCAACATCTACAGGAACCTTAGGCCAAAGAGATCCAACGTGTCGAAAGGCAGCGAGCTCCAGCGACTCTGACTCCGACGGCAGCGAGGAGGTCGCTTCGTGGCATTGGCTTTTGACGGTTGGATTGTTGAGGCTGAGTTTGTTTTCGTGTAGTGCTCTTGCTGCACTACGCCATTTTTTTGCAAACGCTAGATGCAAGGCCGCCTGCAAGCCAGAGCGGCAGATACGCCGACGTTCAACCGCCAGTCGGACCCTCATTCAGCAAGTCACAGCGAGGTGGGGGGGGAGGCATTTTTGTTTGCCTTGCCTTCACCTTTGCACAGTCCTTTTGGGCATGCACTCTTGAGAAAAAGATCCAGGCCTCAGCCGCGATCGCGCAGATGGGCTGCATCCTCGGACCTCGGAATTCCATTTTTGTTTGCATTGAGTTGACTTGCTGTACTGTGCCGTAGTGTTCTGTACTGCCCTGGCATTTTTTGTTCTACAAAAGAGCGGCTTGAAGGCCACAAGAGCCCGCGGCAAAGAGCACCACAGCCCCGCGCCCGGCAATCCACAAAGTCGCCAGAAGATGCTCCCTCTCGCCTCTTGAGCCCTGAAGCTTGCGCTTTTCTCATTTCTCCCCGACGTGCGGAGGCAGAGCCCGAAAGCAGCAGCAGCTCTTCATCGTCCAGCAGCCGACGCTTCAGATGCTGCCTTTTGTTTGCTGATTGAGCCCGCGTAGCAATGCTTTACGTTTTTTTTTTTTAATGGCCCCTGCTGCCTCGTGCAAGTTTCAGGGTGCACGAAGCCGTGCCACGGCCTGGCTGCAGACTGACATTCTTGCAGGACCATAGGATACCAGAAGTGTCTGTATCTGCGCAGCCTGGCTGGACACTGAAGGTTTTACGTAGATTCAACTGGGCAATGCCTTCAAGGTCGTGCTTTTGAACTGCACATGTTCGAGCAGAATATGGAATTGCAGGAGAACTAGGCAACTAAGCGCATAGCGAAACCCTGTGAAATACTGTCAAGGAACACCCTGTCACTTTGGAAGTACAATTGTTGACTAAAGGGTGTGGTGGGCTGCGTTCCGAGTGGGATCAGTTCAGCATGTCCCTGTCGCCATGGAGTTTGAGCGGGCACTTTTTCGTATTCATCAGAAGACACTTCTTGTGGAACCACTGCGAAAGTTACGGTTGCGATGCGAGCGCATCTTGCCAACCATCGTGATCACGCAGGTGCTGCTGCTAGCCGCGCTGCACACGTCCTACGTTGGCCAATCAAGTTGCCTGCCGGATGTTCTTCGGCGAGCGGGCCTCTGGAATGAAACTTCTTCAAAGCCACACCTGCCTGAGGATGCTTTGCTGTACCTCACGGTAACTCTTGGAGACGGGGTCAAAGGGATGACCATTGTCGAAGCTAGCAACCGGTCCAAAGCTGTGCGCCTAGACTCTTCCGATGTCTTTGTCAGCTACCGTTTTGCTTTGGACCGCGAGATCGTGCAGATGCGTAAAACCGTGTTTGAGAATCACAACTTCGAAGTGCACAACGTTTCACTGACCCAAGCCTGCCTGACGCCTTCCACGGTCTTGGCAGACGCATTGCACTTCTTCAACGCCTGGGATGGCTTGGTGATCAACGAAATAGCCTACAGCCTGCGGTCACGTGGTTATCTGGAGAGGATGGATGGAGATGAGGTTGTTGAGGCATGGGCTTGGACCAAGGAACAAGTTGAGTCCCCAAATCCTGAGCAAGGGCGCTCCTTGCTGGCCTCACTGCTCCGCAAGCTTCTTATACTACTCAGCGCCACTTTCTCCTTTGCCTTGATATCTGCTGTCACCGGCTTGTTTATCCGAATCGCCGTTCACGGCTCTGCCGTGCTGATGTTTCCCCTTGCGCTTGTGGCCCAGTCGGTGGGCTTGAGCTCCTCGCGGATGTCAGTCAACATCCTCTCACGGAGCTTCCCCTGGATTGGCGTCCATGTCGACGTTTTGCGCCGAGGTGGTCGTCCAGTCTGGCCCCTGCTTCGCTCGCACATGGCGTTTTTGCTGGTGCAGTCTTTTGCCTATTTGAGCTGCAACTTGGCATGGAGGTTTCTCCTCTACCGCAAGTCCTCCCCGGAGGGCTTTGAAGAGAACATCTTTAGTTTGTGTTCCTTGCTGGAGCTTTTCAACCTGATCTTTGTGCGATCTCCATCTTCGGCGGCCGTGTACCCGAAGGTTGCAAGTGCCTGCGTTATCTATCTCCATTTCTACATATTCTGTTCCCTGTATCCGTTTCACAGCTTGGCATTCCTGACTTGCCTTGGAGCCTGCGCATACGTCATGGTCTATTGCCTGAACCATTTCGAAGAGCCGGCACTTAGGGCGGACCCCTTCAACAACACCACGCCAACGGTGGCTCACCCGCGAGCGCTCTACCTGCCTTTGTTGTCGCCCTCGTGGACGATTGAAGCAGCGCCGCTATGGACCATGTTCTACCCACCTGAACATGCTTCGACGTTTCCAGAAGATGCCATGCGGCACATACAAAGTGAGGAATACAACATGCCGTGATGCCGGAAGCGCCTGGCAAGCTTCAAAAAGCGTGCAGGGAGTGCCGCGCACGTTGGTGGCGCACGCCATCGACTTCTGCCGTCCAGAACCTCGTTCTTTACTAGCTCTATGCCTCCACCACTAGCAAGCAACAATCACCAAGCGTAACACTGAAGTTCAGGTGGTTCTCGTCAGCGACAACGGGCACCCTCCTCAGATGAGGAGCCATGTGTGTCCCATTGCCTGGGCCAATCTTTGAGAATTTGGGAACTGCGACTGCGACAGCCAAGCCGTGCGGCCCCACGTGAGTCGCAGGAAGCAGCGCAGCCTGAAGGCAGCAGAGTCGCAGCTGAAAGCGATGACCATGCAAACCTGTACCATCACGCTTTCACAGTCGTTCATAGCCTTTCATAGCCATTCACTTTGCAGGTGCAGGCGTCGCAGGTGCAGCGGTGACCAACGAGATGCGTCGAGCTCAGGAAACTCCGAGAGCCAGCTGGAAACCTCCACGAGAGTCTTCGCAACAGTTCGTGCCATGCCATGACAATCGAGGCCGATGGATCCTAGGCGCCTACGCGTCGCTCAGGCTACCCTTGTACTGGAGTTGTAGCTGTTGCCAGCTGGTGCTGCAGACTCGGCGTGTTGACCATCACCGCAAGGCAAGAAGTATCTAGAGCCTTGTCCAGGGGAGAGTGTCAGACAGGACTACTCCGACGTGTTCTGATCCGAGGGGGCTGATTGTCAATGAGGCAGCAGAGCCTGGTAATGGATGAGAGCGCTTGAGCGCTTGACTCAAGGCTCGAGCAAGCCAAGACAACTTTAAACATGCCATTCCCCTGGCTCGTTATGCCAAGGTGTCCCAGGCATCACCAGCCAATCTCACCCCCCCACCAGCGAGAACACGGTGTGCAGCCGAGAGCCCGCAAAAGGACATATTGTGTCGCCGACCTTCATCGCAAAGCTCACTCGAAGCCCCGTTTGGTGACAGCATATGCTTGTGGCCTGAAGCGCGTGTTACTCAAGATTGTGCTATCAGCTAGAATGGCTTGATCTCTGCAAAGGGGTCGGACAACGTTTCACTGATTCACGACTCACACGCAGGAAGTAGCAGCACATAGCAGCACCTAGCCTCATCCTGTTTGGGGCGTGATGCCCATGGCTGTGGTCTTGGGATGGAGGAGCAGCTCATTCAGAAACAAAGGCGAGAGGGCCTGAGTTCAAGGACCGAGGAAGGTTCAAGACACCTTCCAGGAACGTCAGCGCCGAAAGCGTGGGAATGCCACCCCGCCAAGATGAGTCCAGGTCTTTCTATGAGATACGGTGGAACAGTTCCACTTTCGAATGGCTCGAGCTGTGTGGCAGACAGCGTTCATGGTGCAAGAGCCGGTCCTTGTGGGCCCGCGCAGAGCAGCACAACTCACGGAGCAACTGTCCGGCACATCAATGGACACACGCCTCCAAGTTGGCTGGGCGAAGGGGTCGCACTGTCGGAAGCCTCTGGTTCAGGAGGTCAAGCATGTCATGCCCCGAGGCTCACAGCACCTCCTGGTCAGACATCCGGTGAGCACCCGGCCGGAAGGAGGCATCATCGGAATCAGGAGCATCTGGACCATGGTGTTGCGATGGAGGAGCCCTTCGGACTCGCAGGGCACGGAGCCACCACCTCAGGGAATTTAGAACATAAAACACAGCTCAGGGTCCTGGCAACGGAGCAAGTTGCTGCTGAGGTAGAGCCTGAGCTTGCGGACTTCCAGCACAAGGCCTTGTGGCACCTTGTGATTCTGTCATTTTCTGTCACATTCTGTCTGAATCTTGATAGACCTGAAAGGTCCGACTCCCGTGACCTGTGCAGGCACTTGGTCCTCCGCGCCCAGCCAGGACAATGCCGAGCCCTAACCGGCACAACCACTGCTGTTGTTGACATTTGTTTTGCGTGCCCCTTGCCGAGCAGTTTGAGTTGCGAGCAACTCTCGACTTGATCTCGAGCACCGACCAGGTACAAGTATATAGCTTTGAGGAAAGCGTACCGAAGTGGCGTGTGGGCAACGGTTCGAATGCACATTAGGTTCGAGCAAGATCAAGCGAAACAGTTGCCTGGGTATCTCCCGCCGGAGAATGGACGGACGTTTGCAGGCGAGGGCTAGGGCCAAGAATCCAGGAACCTAGAACGGGTCGGCCTACTGAATCTGGGATGTGTCCGGGATAATGCAAATGTTGAAAGTCCGTACTCAACCGACTCGTTGACAGCATTCATGTCGCCGCGCCACTGCGCTGTCTGCAGAATTTCGCCTTCTGAATATTCGGAGCGGCAGCATTTCGGGTGAAAGCGCAAGGGTGGTTCACTGGCCTCGGCTTGATTCATTGATTGATTTCTGCACTTTTGACGAAGCAACCTCTCTAAAGCACGTGTAGCTCAAGCCATTCTGACCTTAACAGTGTTCGATTCGAGTGCACCAGCTCCGTAAAGATGAGGGGGTTCTTGTCGGACCTCTCCACCCGAACTGTTTCTAACCCTAACTCTAGACAGGTCTAAACACACGAGACCAGCTGCGTCACACCTTGAGGCCGCGGGAGCTGTTGCTGGGCCGCTCCACGACCAAGGAGGACATCCAAATCTCCCTTGAATCCCATATCTGTCCTGTAAATGTCCAGCAAATGAAGGGCCGCTTGCAGCAACATGTCGCCGCCCCGAAGTTGGTTGCAGGAGCTCTTGAAGGCAGCATTATCCGGTGCACAGAGGCGATGTGGAGAGATCGCAGCTGACCCAGATAGGTGCTAGCATTGATTTCGAGAATGCGGTACTCGCATTATGCAATGCACAATACGGGAAGGTTTAAAGATGCTTACGTAGAGTGGGGCATCAAAAAGGGGGATCCAGCAAAGAACAAGAGCTTACATCGAATAACCGACTTCGGACATCCCCACTATAACTGCGAACTTGGGGTGGGCTGTGGGAGTGGGAGGCCCGGGGCCCCGAAGGTGAGTGGTTTAGGGCTTATATTATATAGCTGAAAGGTTCTGCATCAGTTCGGCGCCACGGCGCAACGACACAAAGCTGTTGTTGGACATTCATCCTGCCTGCGATGTGACAATCAGTCAAGGCAACTTGCGACTCGCACACATTCTCAATGAGTGTACAATTCCAGTTCAACCCCCTCAAATAACAGTGATTTGGATCATCTTGGCTTTGGTCAGCCGCTTGCTTGCATTCGTATGTACTCTGCAGGCTGCGGCTCGAAAGTCCAGGGTATGTAACAGCCCCGGGCGTCCGTTCGCCCGTTCTCCTTGCGACGCAAGAGAGGGGGCACCACGACAGCGCCCTTTTCAGCGCAGCAGCTACTCGCAAACAGAGCCTGCGCCACCTGTTCTGGAGCATCCATCCGAACCTTTCGTGCCTTCGGAATCTACGCCGACGAAGATGATCGCTAATAACATCAACCGCCATGACTGAAGAGATTGCACGTTGGAGCCCTGTTGCATCTGCGGTATCTTCGTCCTCTTGCAACTGGTGAGGCGGTAGGAGATGGTGAGGCGTCTTGCCAAGCCAATATTTCATTCTTGGTAGGACTGCAGAGTCAGGGGTGATGTCAGCGTGGACGTTAGAGTAGCTGACAGAGCAGTTGGAGTTGTGCAGAATGCGCTGCCACGTCCGGCCATGAAATCACGAGTCATATCGCGCCTTGTCCCCCCAAGCCGGGCGTTGCGAGCTTGAAAGTGCAGTCACGACTTAGTTAACTTTCGGCATACAGCTTCCAAACTTGATGCAAGCACAAGGGACATGTTTGGGCACGCTCGAAACATGTCACGTTGTGTCGTGAGGAGCTGCGTTGAGTCGGAACACCGTGGCCACAATGTCCCAGTCGCATAGTCCGCGTGGCTCGGGCAAGACAAACAAACACTACGTCGGCACTCAAATGTCCGCATGCTGTCTGGGGTAAGTCTACATGCGTATGTTCGTACTGTGTGCCGTCTCGTTAGGTCTTTCCGATATTCTACATACTAGCAGCTGCAACAGATGCCCAAGATTTGACCCATCACTCGGCGACTTGTCCAGATTGCTTCATGCAGCCAAAGCAGATGTTCATCAGCAAAGCCTTTACCCTCGAAAGTGACCGCGTATTGTGAGCTAAATGGTCGCACGAGCGCACTAAGGCGGAAGCGGAGCAGAAAGCTTTGAGAATGGCCCGTGAGGTCATTGATGAGACGGGGCCCCAGTTTGCATGGTTTCTGTGGCACACCCCAAAGTTCATTCCTGGCTTGAGCACAGTGCGTACACTCCCGCTGGTGCGCTTAACAGCTCAGCAGCTGACCTCAGGATGCGAAGCCCGCTGAAGGTGGCACGAAGCATAGCCTGGTCGTCTCAACTTGGATCGGATTCAGCTTGGCCTGCAGGCACCGCCGGAGCCAGCTGGAGATGAAGTGCCAGCGACGATGCCTCAGTCAAAGCAAGGTCTTGGCTTGTTTTTTGTTGTTGTTGCTGCATAAATAAGCGTTTTTCAACCAAAACTCAGGCCTTATCAAACTCGTAATCGTCGTCGTCGTGGTAGCACGTAGCGGTAGCAGTGGCAGTAGCAGTAGCAGTAGTAGCACAAGTGCCTCCAACAGTTCGACGACCTGGGAAGATGTGGCGCTGCCTGGAAGGAGACGGGGCGGCCATGTTGCCTAAGCCGTAAGCCTTTGTTACTTGCAATGTACCACCTAAGCAGAGTGGCAGAGCGACCATCATCGCGAAAACGGATGTGTGTTCCACTGGCCATCAAGGAGCTCTCCCAGAAGGGTCATGAACACCGAGGCGGACCGAGAGCAGAGCGCCCCAACCAATGAGGTCTGCCTGCCACAATCCACTTGAACAAGCTTTACATGTTGGCATTTTTGGGACAGTTCTCAACATTGTAGAGCTGTGGAAAGTTGTGCAATCGCGGCAGGTGCTGCAGTCAATTGAACACAGTGCTCCGGAGTCTGTGGAGGCCGTCCCTGAATTAAGGGTTTTTAACTTTGAGCTCTAGATCATGGGTCATGAGGCACGATGGCTCATAACCCGACGTCCCTTTCGGGGCCTCAAGCTGACTGGTTTGCATTTATGGGCTCCATAGCTTCGAATACCTGGACAGGATGGGCCACAGGCAGCAGGTTGCCCAGATTGCACGGGATGTGCATACTTACTAGCACACGTTGACTTGCGACAGTGTGATGTCTGGTGGAGAGCCGAAACGCTTTTCATCAAGTCGCAAGCTGCTGCAACACTCTGGCTCAAGTGGCTGAAGTGCTGGAATGCTTTCTTGCGTTTTGCCTGCTTGAGCTCTTCGTAGAGCAATGCCGGCTCGACCAAGACGGTCTCAGACAGGCTTAGGCCCTTGCACGATTAGACGCACTTGTCCGAACTGCAGCAGGCAACAAGCATGCAGTCCCACAGTCTTTCGCTGCTTTCGCGAGGCCTCTTGCTGGCTGTTACAGAGTCTCGGCATTCCAAAATTAACATGAGGTCACTGGGAAGTTACGGTTAGGTCGGATACTGGGCCTAGATAGAACTGATATCTCCCCACACACAACTCAGGCAGTCAGTAAGCCTCAGTAAGCCCTCCACTCCAAGCATCATAGAAACTCCTGGATATTTGGGGAGTTCTTTGTAACGTACTGGTTGGTGCAGCGTGCGCAGATTGGCATACGACACCGGTGTTCAGAGAATACGGAATCCTTGGACCTTCGGAAGCTCTGACCGGAAAGTTCCAGTCGTTTCCACGCATGGTTGATCTGAATGCGAGGCTTTTTGCAACAAAGAGACTAAGAGTTAACGACGATAAGAAAAACCAGAACAAAGGACAAAGCATTCTGGGCGCCCGTAACTTAGATCGCCGCGCCCTATATGTGAGCGCAACATTGCTGCCTTCAGGCTTTTCTGCTCAGCGGAGACTCGGCAGTGTCATCTTGTGACTTGGCTCATGTTGTGGACCGTAACTTTTTAGAGGAAGCTCTTGTTGCAGCCATAGCTTGTCGCTGAGTACGTTTTTCTGGTCGGGCACCAGCCGCCCATAAGCATCAAAGTTGCCAGAGCATTCTGCCTTGATGGTTGGCAGTTGACAGAGAGCATGCGCCAGGCGTTGGCTTTAGCGTGGCCCGCCCAACTCAACCCCTCCGCACTCGGCACGGTCGAAGGCGCGGGCGGATCGAGCACGGATGAGTACGGAGTAATTACGCAGTATTCAGAGAAGATTGCCTTTCTTTGACTTATGGGCACTTCTGTTCCTGTAAGCGGCTTTGCAGTCGCGCATCGGAAGCTACTGGAGAATCCTAGAAACTGAGAGGCTGGGTTTATAAGGAGCTACTGGCAGGCTGCTGGCTTTATCAAATCTCAGGGTGCCCGTTGCAGCACGGCCCCTCACACTATCTGGGGTCTCCATGACCAATTATTCTTAACGGCATTCAAGCTCATCCGTGGAAGGAGCTGCGCAGCTCCGGCACAGGCACGCCGGCCGCGATGTTTTCCCGTTCTCTGCTCGCCATCTGCTTGCCTCGATTCCTATCAGTCGGTCAGTGATTGAAGAAATTGGGTCTGGCATGATTGAGGAATTGTATGGAGGAGTTGGCGTGAAAAACATGACAACGGGACATAACCAGATATTTCTTGTTTAGATCGCGAATTGAACCGAATCCGTTTTGACGAGCAGCTTCGGGCTTTCAGTTTCCCGAGTTCGTAGTTCGCTAGACTATTTTGAGTTCGGCTGTACTGACAGACGGTTCATCCTCTGGCATTCTGTCGCAGGTGATCAAGGCGGAAGGAAACGGTTTCGGCAGTGCCATCCGTGGCTTCCTCAGGCGCGTTTGCTACTTTGCTTCTTGCAGCCGGCTCAATGCCTGGAATCCTGAAGTCCAGGTGCCATGAAAAGGGTACTCGAAGTGTAGAGCTGCATGGGTTCGCAGCGCACCAATTCTCTGGCCAGGCGTGCTCTGGCCCTACTGAGCATGCTGACATGGTGGGGGAGGTCCACATCCAAGGCCATGTAGGGTTTCGCCAATCTCGAGTAAGCCACAGTGAGCATGGGGCATGGTGTTTATGTTGTTGCTGTCATGGTTGAGTTTTGAGTTGGTTGTTTTCCAGGTGCTCAAGGCTGCCCCTGTTGAACCCGACATTGAGTCCAACGACTGGGAGCCTGAGATCTCTGCACCCGTTCCTAGGTAGCACATGGCCTGACATGACTTCGAAACAGCTTGGAGCAGTTTTCTTCCGAGGTTGCAATGCGAGTTCAAGGCCAAGGGCCGGCCATGGCCTCCAAGGTCACAGACAACGTGGAACCTATCGACACAGTTGCGACAGTTGCGAGCGAGGTAAGCCAGGTGAGCACAAAGCTTGCCGACCCCGTGGTGCCAGGTATGTCCAAAGCAAACTTGGTAGTGAATGTGGAGACAGTTCCGGGCAAAGCACAGACTCCGCATGCAGATGCCAAGATGCAGCAATCGAACCAAGAAGTGCTCCAAGACCTCTGCGGTGACGGCTGGAGCTGCACACCAATTGACATTGAGAAAGATCTGTTCGAGATCACGCTGCCACCGGTGAGATACCAGCTTCCAATGGGTGTGGTTTCGATTCCTCCGCCGTTGTTCCATGCTCAGGTGCTGCACTCAGACGTGCTCGGTGGTGTCTTGTCGTTCTGATTCTCCATGCTGGTCAATGTCCAGTGGTGGCGTTTCCAAAAGCATCCTGTGGCAAGGCGCGCACCTCGCACGAGGAGTCAGATGGCTACAGCGAAAGGTTAGTGGCAGACATCGTGCTGCAAAATGGTGACAAGATACTTTGTGTGGAGCCGCTTGGTCCGCAGATTCCCCACATCGCTAGGCATTTGCTTTATGTCATGAGTTTGGGATTGAGATAGAAGGGTTCTCAGGAGGACAAGCTGTTGTGCAGCAAGTGAACAAACGCTCCGCAGTGCATGATTTCATCGATATTCAATACTCTACTTCATCTCAGGCTGGGGTTTCCCTTCTCTAGCAAGTTCACCATCTCAGCAGCTGGCTGCGAGCTTAGTCTGCCACGGGGCTTATCCAGCAGAGCGCCAACCTTACAAAACATGCAGTGGCCACAGGATTGAGAAACCTGGTTCGAGACATTAGAGCATAGTTCGCACGCAACCGCTTTTGCCAAAGGCTGGGCGCGCTGTCGTGTGGGGCGTGAGCCTGGTTCGGTTATTTGCAAGGCCCATGGGCAGTCAAACAAGGAGCAGCATTGTCAATGAGGAGCTTTTGGGAGCAGTCTGCAGTCTGCAGGTTCAAGATTTGGACGCTTTCAGCTTGCACAGATAGGCATTAGTTGCACTTGCCCGGGGCGCGCGGTACAGAAGGTAAGAGCCAAGAACTGCAAGGTGACGCAAAGAGTAACTACGTAGCGAATAAAGCAGCAACTAAGGAAGTGTAGATGCTTGCGTGTGCTGGCTCTTCTGCAGAGCCGGCCCAAGCCTCGAGACGTGCTCGTCGGCCGTCCAAGCCAAGCAGACCTCGAACATTTGCAGTCCGCACGGTCGGGCTGCAGATTCGGAAAGCGATCGCGGGTCCAGGAGAAAGAGCCGGTGAACCCGAAACCTTGAATGTGCAGCGACAGCTTGGGGGACAGGCTTCGAGGACTCCTCAAGTCCTGCCTTGACTAGCAGTAAAGGCTTGCAGTGTCAGCAGGCTGAATAAAAACCTTTTGGTGCACATTTCCAATCGAAATCCAAGCCACTTTCACGTTGTGTCACAAAGAAGGACCGGCTGCCTCCCCCCCCCCCAGCATCGGAATGCAGCTCCCAAGTCTATACACGGCGGCTGCCGGCAGGGGGTGGAACGGTTGGTGTTGTGGAAGGGGATTAAATCCTGGTCTGTGGTCTCCTAGTGAGTTTCAGATTCGACTAAGATGTAGTGTTTGCTATTGAGTAACCATTCCAAATCTTCAGCTGCCAGGCTGAGGTGGAGATGGGCCTGCAGGTGCCCAAGGCGGGATTGTGAAAATATGCAGAGAAGACTCATGGGGACCCAGGTCGCCTCTAGTCACTGCAACGATGGTTTCTGGAACTTCGGGTTGACGCCATGTCGGCAAGTTGCAGCAAAGTAGTAAGACGGGCCCCCCCCATTCTTTAACGAGCTCGCTGTTGGCCTCGGCCAGCCTCGACTCGCAGCAACACGTCGATGCAACATGTCAGTAGCTCCACGCCCATCCAAGAACGCTCAGCAAAGCAGATCAGTGCGCAGAAGAGCGCAGCAAGCAGAATGCAATGAGTGTCCTTGACGAATGCGATGAGACTGGTCCGTGCAGGTCCCCGGACTAACCTCGATCTTGCAGTTCTTCGTCAAGTCCTATGCCAACAAATCTGCAGCTTTCTTGCATTTGCTGCAGTGGCATGCCCTTCATTGCGATCACTCTTGCTCCAAGCGAAGTGTTGTAGCAGTGTGTATCCCACCATTCTCCGCTCGCCGAGGCTCATGATTGTGCCGTCAGCTTGTCAAAGACTAGCTGAAGAGGTCCTTAGCTGACCTCCCTTGTTCCATGGTGCGTCGACCCTTGGTGGCAGGTACTGGTACGGGTGGTCGAAATCTTTCACAGTTTGAGGATCATGCTAGAGATGAAGGGAGACGAAGCTGGTCCGACCTTCTTTTGTTGTTGGGCGGTGAAGATGCCACCAGCGGCGGCAGGAGAGTGCCATACATCCCTGCGGCTGAGAACCGGCAAGCTGACAGGGCTGGCTGTTTCGTTTTCATGTTCGAGATAGGTTCAACGCTGCACGCGAAAGGGTCTAAGCATGATGCTGTATAGACTGTATAGACGATAGGATGCGAACATTGTGCTCGCACTGTTTCGATTCGCGGGTGCAGCAGCTGGAGACAGATTCGAGGCAAGATGATGCATGATATCCAGGTCTCAGCAGTTGTAGTTAGTGCAACAACCTAGTGAACCTGGCCACCGTGATGTATCTTCTGCTTCCTTTCCGAGTTTGGGAATGTGACAATCCCACGGTTTTCGAATGTGCAAGATCACGACACCCCGCTGCTCAAGCAGGAAACGTTTTCTTTCTGCGTCCCAGACAATGATGGGGTAATGTAGGGGTAGAAGAGCAGCATGGAGTGCAAGCCACGGATGCGGAGACAGAGGACTTTCTATTGCCATTGGCATCTTTTCTGCAGGCACAGCAAAAAAGGAGCAATCCTGACACTAGATCTGGAAGGAATGCTCCGCCTGCTAAGGACAGTGATGGTAGATACCGTAAAGACCCTAAAGTGCGCCAGTGAATCTTCCCTGCCCTGGCGCATTTTGTTCTGCCTTCCAGCCACTGGAAGGCACTGTAGTCTTCCAGAAGACGCCTGAGTTTGAAGAAGGGGCAGCTGGTAAATTTCGATAGCTCAGTTGGAATCTGTCGAACAAGTCTCGCCTGGTTGGATGAAAGTGCTGCCCTTGCTGGCTGAATCCCGTGTCTTTGTTCACGGCTGAAAGCCTCATAGGCCACAGGTGTTGCTAGTGGCTCGCACAATTGCTGGGGTTGAATTCCTCGGCGTACGGAGTCTACCAAAGTGACCATCCAGCACAATACTTCAAGCAAATGTGTCGAAAATTGTGTTGTGTCCATCCGTCTCGCAGCGCTTGGCAACATCAAGTGGAGTCGGATGGAGGTTCTGCAGCAGCGGCAAGAAGGCTGCTGACTGCAGAATCCTCCTCGAAAGTCAATGAGTTAGCGAAAGAACCAGTTCAGGCGCAGGATTTTGGATATAGATTGCAATCCAGAAATATTGGCCTGCCTCGACAGATGCTGACGAAGGAGCAGATCCATCCTGTGCGCGGCATACCAGTTGGAGTTCTCGCGGGCTACAAAACAGGATGCGTGGCCAGCCTTCAAAGATGTTCCAGCCAGCTCGCAACATCACCCTGCATGGTTTGTAGGGATTGTAGGCGCAGCAGCCCAGCGGCATATTGAGTTTACTTCAGGCTTACTTGATGCTTCCTTGAAGCTTCCGCTTCAACTTTCGAAAAGTTTTTCGCGTTTTGACAAAGGCCCAAGAGGCCAGGGGCTTGTCGGAGTCCATGGCTGCGGAGTCGGAGCAACCTGGGCCAAGGCCCCTCGGGTTGGACCGGAATCAGTGCCGGCTGGTGCCATCGAGCAAGGGCGGAGTAGAGCCCTCTGCCAGTTTGCAAAGTTCAGCAAAATCATGCTCGTAGCTTGAGACAGGATATAACAGCCATGCAGCAAGACAGGAGGGAAGAAGACACGGCAGCCGAGTGCATTCGCGGACAACTTAGTTCTTCGCACACCATCTAGGCAGTCGCTGCTTTTGACTTGGGCATGTCTTTGGGTCACAGAATCCGAATGTGATTACACCAGAGGCCTTCAAAACATTCTGGACAGGATGAAGAAGCTGATACGTGAAGAGCCGGGTCCTCTCAGCGCTTCGCAGATCAAGCAAGGTGTGTCTCAGTCGCGCATTGCAATGTTTGGAAGGAGGGCGCTGTGGAATGAAGAACGGTCACACTTGCTGGATGTTCCTAAGCTGCAGAAGGAACTGCGGTAGGGACCGCAGGAGACAAGCTCAAGGGGTCAATTGTGGATTTCAAGAGCCGCGGCTTCGTACTTTCGATTGGCTGCGCAAACTTAGCGATACAGGAAAGTGCAAAGGGTCGATGCCAGAAAGCTGAGTTGCAATCGTGCAGCCCTGATGGACCGCTAGAAGCCATGTGCTTCCTTGGACTTGATTCTTCAGATTTCTTGAGTTGAACCGGTATCCCATGTCATTCTGTGCAAATTGTTGCTTTCATGTGTTCGGTCACTTCAGACAAATGTCCGTGTATCGGTGTGCCGTTGGCGCATGTTGGCACAGTGGCCTGGGCGCTGGATCCTCCCATGGAAGGTCTGGACACTACAGATGTTGAGCCAGCCAAAATTGGGCTGGAACGGGGGGGAAGGGGGAGTTCAAAATTCCAATTCGAAGCTGGCCTTCTAAGATTCTAAGCAATTTCTAAGCTCGGAATTCCGAGGAGTTGTCAGCTGCGCGACGCGCCTTGCCCGGACCCCGGATCTTGGATTTGCACCGCGGGTCACCCGCAGAAGGTGTGGAATGCGCACAAACCTCACCATGTCAAAATGCAGCAAACCCAGCAGATTCCAGCCAGCAGAACCATTCAACAAGAAAGCAACAAGAGAGCATCTGAGGTCGGCCTCTGAGTCTGCACGCGAAGCGGCGGAGTTGGCTTTAGAGGGTCAGCTAAAGTCCACGTCCCTTGCCTCGCCTCTCAGAGGTCCCAGCTCTACCAGGCCCACGAGCCTCGGGAGCTTTGGGAGCCTCAGGAGCCTTGGGCCTGAAGCTCCCGAGATCGATCTGCTTAAGGACGGGGTGCGCTCGGCACTGGATATGATGTCCAGCCTGGAAGAAAGCAAGAGCCGTCCCCCGCATGAATTCAGAGCACGCGCAAGCCAACTGCGCCCTGCCGGCCAATGGACCACAATGCCGCTCGAGGATGGACTGAATCGTTTCAAAACGGCACTGCGTGATGAATGGGCCAGCTATCTCCTCGTTTGGTCTGGGTAGTCTCCTCCCTGATAGCCCCACTAGTATGGTCATGAGCTCACCTAGTGTTCCGGAACCGTCCATAGCAGGATTTGGTTCGGCAGTTCCGTAAGCCAAGATCTGAAAACCTTTTGAGAGTCCAGGCATAGATTCAGCGTTACAGTACGCGAAGTTTGAGATTGAGGGGCACGGGCAGAACGTTTTCAATTTTTCGTGCTGGTTCGGGATGTAAGGTTTTCTGGCTGTATCAAGTCCAAGCTGCTGCTGTTCGTGACATGTCCTCGGTTGTAGATGCGGACCGAAGCGTTCGGAGTCAAACTTTCACTTTCCGTTGCGCAGCCATATTTGTGTGCCCACAGTCGATACCACAAAAACACAGGAGCTCCAAACTGCTACCAGCTCTGGAAAGAACAGAAGTCCTCACAAGCGTTCGAAGCAGGAAGTTTACGCCGACAGCCACTGATGACCACAACTTGAACATGACATCAATTTTCGGGCTCTTGGATAAGCGGCAGCGAGCGGTGACTTGGCCTGAAACTACGACAGTCACATTCATGCAGTTGCTGACTGTTTTTCACTCCCAGGTTTTTGCACCTTTCACTGGCGCTGTCTTGTAGTATAGTGTCGAAAGCTCCCTTCAAATTATATAAGGGGCAGCCTCCGTTTAAGACTCTGAGGCTAATCCGCTTTAGGGTTTGGGCAAGGGCCGCACGGGGGGACGTCCACCCGGACCAGTTTTGGAGCAGATGTCGCCGAGGACTCGGAAGAGGGATTTTCAAGATCCCTCTTCCCGAAATCATTTTGGGAGAGACTAGGGACCCCTGATGCTCATGATGCGGGCTTTCCGGCTCTCCAGGCTGGGGATCATCTCCCAAGGCCCACACGAAACGCCATGACAACGGAGCAGCGGGGGGGGGGGGGGGGGGAGAGAGATTGAGACAGAACGGGGTGCTCATGATGCAGAGTTCAGACAAGAACTTTTCCATCTGCCTGCGAGAGCTTTCGTCCCCCGCCTCTCGGCGCAAATCTGACTTGGAGTAGGCTGTTTCAAGATCAGGCAGACGACGCAGCGCTGGCAAACGAGTTGGACTTCTCCTTCGAGGCGGGTGGCGGATTGCAAACCCAACCTACGAAAAGGTACTCCTTTGGGTATCTTTGGAGCTTCCTGTTTCAGTTCAAGAGGATCGAGAGAGACAGTTGTGATGCACGCCATGCATGGAGACCTTTCACCGAGTCGTGCGTCTCTCATTTCATGTGTCTCTCTGCGCGTACCGCGTCCAAACGAGGAGCGAGCCGACTTGCTTGCAGACCTTTTGGAGGTGGCTGACACTGTAGCAAGCATGGAGCGTGAGAGCACAGTGGAGTGCCATCAGATATAAGCTGTACACATCAGCAGTAATATCCTCCCTACAGCAAGAGATGCGTGGTGCCGTCCTTGCCGTTGCAGGATGACAGCTCGGTCTTTCCGCTGCTGGAATGCCCGCCAGAGGCCAGTCCAACCCACCTCCTGTAGCCTTGGCCTGCAACGTGCCTATGCACTCCGACGAGGTCCTCTCCTCCGTGCTGCTTCTGTCAGCTCCCTGCTTGCAATTAAGTGCCTTGTTTGTCAGATTGTTGAGTCGTTGGGTCATTATTTAGTACTCACTCGCGGCAGACGCTAGCCTCAGCGGAATCAAACAGAGCAAGATCTGCAGCTACGGCTGCTCTGGGAATCAGAACTCTTCTGCATCGAATTCGAGTACAGACTAAGACGCAAGGAAGCTTAAGTCCCGAAGCTTGCTCGCTTCAGACGCCCACTGCGGCTCGAATAAGGAGGCGGTGACAACCGTTCGAATGAGACCATTGTGCAGACTGATGCGAGCGGCAGTAGACTCCAATGAAGGCGGATTCGATTTGTTGCAGCACTTCCAAGCAAGTCGAAGATGCAAAGCCGTTGCTGGCAAGGCCTTTGGAGTCTACTGACCTTGCGGGACTTTGCAGACTTGGGTGGCACAACTAAGCACTACCGGGGCCTGCGCACCCTCGCCGAATGGGACGAGTCCAACGCGATGAGGCAGGCTTTGCTATTTGTCGTCGCCAGTCGTTTATCAACACTCGGGGAAGGGTGTCTTGTCTTGTGCGAAGTGCATCCATACTGCTTGCTGTTTTCAGATTGCAGCGAGCGGCACTTTGAGAGTTTTTGTATGTTGTCGCGCATGCAGTCCGGCCTGTTTGCGTAGGCGACTGGAATGGGATCCATTGATGATCTGTGCACCACCAGCATTACGATACAGTTTACTTGCGGCCATGCAGGCCGGCCGTTGCAAGCTGAGTCGTGGAAGCAGCGACCCAAACCCTTCTAGAAGGTCAGATGATCGGACAGTTTACTTTCACCATAGCCAATGCACTACAATGTACCACAACACAGAGGGCGCTTGATGGCTTTCGTTTCCTTTTTGCCCCGATTCTTTCTTGCAGGTGAGACGTCAACTTTGGACTCAGCATGGGCCTTCCTTAGGCGCCGGCTGGGAATGGTTCAGCGCCAAGGCCGCCAGGGCAAAGCGATGCAAAGCTTCGCCTACCACGAGATCTGACCGGTCCTCCCGTTTTCGTCAGGTTTGCCGCCGCATGGCAGTTCCCACCTTCCTGCGCTGGGCCTCGCTGCAGCATGACCAGCAGGCGCGCTGCGGCTGAAAGGGGGGGGGGGGGCAGGGGCAGAGCCAGGAAGACCCCGTGGTGCCAAGTGAAGATAAGTCCCGGTACAGCTATATACATCCATGCCCCGCCTCTGCGCAAGGCCCTGCAATCATTGCTAAGACCTCTAGGCCTGGAGCTCAGACTTGTCCATCAGAGGCTCTCTCACAGTTCCTTAGAGTCTAGATCAAAACGGCATGGGTCAAGAAGTCGGCATGATGAGAACATCAGACAATTCAAATATAGTCTCCTGCAGATGTGGCTGGAACCAGGCTTGTTGCGCATGAGCTTCCCTTATAAGGCCTGTCAACTTCAGATGTGGTATCCAGCAGCGATGCCTTTCCGAGCCAGAAGCGAAAGAGAGCAACCGACGCCAAAACTGACCTTGAAGACCAGCCGGCGAAGCGAACAGGCCATCGGAGATGGGAAAGATGTCAGTGTGGGCAAATTGGGTCAGTACCGACGGAAATCGTCGAAAAGCGTCTCATAATTAATACTCCGATGGAAACTTATTGTTGCGAGGCCATCGGGTTTGGTGAGATTTGCCAGGCAGATCTGTAGGTCTGAAACCACAAGCAGTCATGACACTTGCACAGATCTGTGTGCTTGGTGCGAGTGCTGCTTGAGGAATGCGCTTCCGATGTGGGCGCTCTGATGCCGTTGATCTTAGCGAAGAAGCCGTCAACGACATCTACGAGACGGTCCAGCGATGGCATAGCAAGGAGCATCGAGAGATGATGCGAGCCCATTTTCAGGGTTCAGAAACTTCCAAGAAAGGAACGTCTCTGCCTCGGGCTGGCAGTGGGGTCTTCAGTGTGACGCCCACTCTTGATGCCCACGAAGCAACTGTGCTCGCGTTGAACGAGTCTCAAGCGCAGCCAGAGCCGGAAGCAAAGAAGCCCCAAGCAGAAGAACGCGGAGCTGCATCGCGCCATATTGAAGAGGCACAACTGAGATTAGCCGTGGAGCTGTCTAAGAAGGAAGCTGAGCAGCCGGAGAAGAAGGACATTAAGAAGACGAAAGAGACGGAGCCCGATCCCTGCCCCGAGTCCACGGTGACCATGCCAGCTCAGCAAGGCAAGGAGAGCTGCAAGGAGCACTTCAGAAAAAGACTCTGGAGAGAGAGAGAGAGAGAGATCTCGCATGTCTCGCACGGCTAGCCGAAGCTGTAGAAGACCACCAGTTCGCACGCATGTGCACGTGCGCACGCACGTGCTTGGCAAAGCTTTTGGCGCAGGAGTTTGAGGGCCTTCCTTTGCGCGGAGAAGGTGACGTTCCCGCTGCACAAGTCTTCGTCAAGCCGCACTGCCTGGCGGCCCGGGTCGAGGCCTTGCCCGATGCTTTGGAAAGATCCATTGAGAGTATTGTCCGGGGCCCAGTCACCATGCAAAGCCATGTAATGTAATGCAATGCCAGATCATGCCATATACTGCTCTTTAAGAAGAAGTTGCAGTTGTAGGGGAATGCATGTTGCCCTTCATTCTGTCCTACCAGCTGCTACTAGTAGCTCGAAGCTCGCGGCTCTTGATAAGGTCCACAAGATGGTCACGCCTGATTCCTGGGCACTGCTCTATGAGTCCATCACAGAGGACCACATCATAAGGTAAATGCTGGTGCTGTAGCGGTTAAGCTCCGGTCAGGGTCCTGACTGCAGAGAGTTCAGATAGCCACGCCCAAACTAGCTTGCCAAAAGGTTCTGAGGAGTCGGGTGAATTCCTCGTATATAGACATGGGCATGTGAGCCTCAGGCCAAGACCAAGAAGAGATAGTGACACAAGAATGCTCACCGATTGCCATACAGTTTATATACATGGCATCAGAGTCGTGGGAAGGAAAGGTATGCGGGTCACACTTTCTCAAGTTGCAGATGTGCCCACTGCTGGTCAAAAAATCTGCTGAACCATAATGAGCTCGTCTGATTGGGAGCAAATGTTCGGTCCTCTGAATTACGGCTTACGGGTTCCCGGTCTCATGCGTTAGGAAGAACTGGCCCCATTGAGTTGCGCACACTTGGAAGTGATCTGTGAACGGAACCGAGACAAACCTCGGCGATTTGACAGCTCGTAGCCTTGAAAAGCTGGCTTGCCAGAACCTTGTCATGAATCGCTGCCACAAAATGCCTGAGAACTGTAAGGTATGCTTCGGATGTTTCTTTGAGCCGCGTGCACTCTGTAGCAGTAGCGTCACATCACACCGTTCTCCACGACGCTCTGATTTGATGTCAGGAGCTCTGCTTGAGGGCCCGATGTGCTGCGCATGCTCTTTGCGCCTCACATGCAGGGGCGATGGACCAGCGCTTTGCTCCGCATTGGGGTACGGAGGACTTGATAAAGGCTTCTGCAAAAGTTTGTGGCTGCTAGTATAAGACTTCGGATCAAAAGCAGCTTTTCTGTGCTTCAACAAAATTTCGAGGAAAAGCAGGTGGAAATGTTCTGGGTATGAGGTTCCCTTAGGGCAAGTTGTCGCCATGCAGGGGCTTACCTGCGGTTGTTGCTGCATCGAATTTGCAAATAGTTCCCATGGTGCCTGCTGACAAGGACGACCTACACTGTGACAATATCTGGGCCGTCTGTTACGACAAATAATTTGAGCAATAATATCGTAGAAGTCCGGTGGTAAAACTATGGCCACACAGAGGGGATTTGTGAAACCTCGACTGTTTTGTCTTTCTTGTGTGGCGTTTTCCGAAAACTTACGTACACTTGGATGATGACAGCAAGACCCTGACTGGAGTCCTTCGGCTAGAGGCCTGAAACCAACTCTAGTCGTTTTGGTTCACCAATTTACGAAGGGGGCGGGCCTCCTTTCTCCCTCCCCTCCCCTGTGACCTTCAACTTCTTTGACCACTTAAGTACGCGAGGGTGCTTTTGAAAGCAACTCATTCCTGTTGAGCGCGTCAACAAAACCGTCCGTACGAGTGAAAGCCGAAGCCCCTTGTTTCCGACCCTTGCGTCCTCTTGGTGCCTCCTTGCTTTCGTCCGGGGCCCTGAAAATTCGGGAAATTCTGTAAAGTAAGTTAGAATCATGCACTCGCTTCGCTCACTTCTGTATTGCTTGATGCTAATACAAAAATGTAGTATCACATTTAAGAGGTCTTTTAAGCTCAGTTAGAAGGCCGAAAATGCAATCAGTTCATGCTGGTCTCTTTGCCCTTATTATGTCCTAGCATCTCGAAGGGCCTTTTTATCGTTCATATCTTCATGGCTCCCAACAGATAACGAGTTTACGAGCACCAATACTCGTATCAGTAGTTTCGTGAAGGCAAAAGCCCCATAAGAATAGGTTCACAGCAGGCGTTTTTATCCCCAAAATTCCCCTTTTATGTTGCTAGGTTAGAAGATGTGGCAGCCGATACAGCCAAGCTGCAGGTGGGCTCGGAAAAAAAAAAAAAAACTGTCATCATACCATGACTGGAATTTGCTGATGCATCACCGATCCCCCTTGCAGGGCTCGTGTGGCATATCGCTGGATCAGGAGCGGCTTTGTTTGCCAATCTGGCGGCGCAGTTCAGTAATGTCCGGCCTTTCCTGCCTGACTGAGAGCCCAAGCTTGGCTGCTGATGGGCTGCGACTGAACCGGGCGCGTCACGACTTCCTGAAGCACGCCATGCTGGAGTGGTGCGAGCTGGAGGCCATGCCACACATGCCACACTGCTTGCCTCAGTCGTTCATGCCATGGCTGACCAAGCATCGGGGGATTTGAGCACAGCGTCTTGCTACCTGATGCCAGAGAAGACGAACTGGAACCCTTGCCCGACACCACACAATTGACCATGCAGATCTCAAGAATCTTGTGAAGCTCTCCCGTGGTACTTTCAGCCCTGTTTACTTGAGTCTCCATCTTGCAGGATCTGACATTGTTCCTGGATGCCCAGCTTGGACCTCTTGAGATGGCTATTGACAACTTTCGGGGAAGCCAGGAGGTGAACACAGCGCACACGCCCCACGTGAGGGACATCGGGCGGCTGATGTTCCGGAATCACTGCTTGCTGGACTCTCGCGTCTTCAGGCTCGATGCTCTGTGCAGCAGCTGACTCGACGCAACAACATGCAAGAACATAGCACCCCGTAAACCCAGTAGAAAATAAGTATAAGCGATTTTCACATAACTCTGTCCTGGGTTTTTTCGACAAAGGCCTTTGTGCTTGGCAGCATACGCGCTGGTCCATGAGGCTGGAGACTGTCGGACTGTAGGCTTGTGTCAGCACTAAAATAAACCTGCATTCATCGTTGATGCACGCCAACTTTGCGCCTGACAGATCCATGGTGCAGCTGGGAAGACAAAACCTGGAGCCATAGACCCTGATGGCGTGGATGCTCTTATCGCGGCTGGGGCTTGTGACCCTTTGAATCTGTAGGAAGCCCACGTCCACTGCTGCAGCGGGAAATAATGCTAAAAAGTTGCTGGGTCTCTGGCCTTCCTTGATAATTCAGGTTGGGGGCAAAGATAGCTGCAGCAAGACCGGCAAGAGTACGATGTGCATTGAAGCAGGAGTCGAGATACCTCAGCTTCATGACATGCAGGGACTCACTTCGAGCTACGTTGAGCCAAGGACCTTCTAGAGCATTTCCATGGCATGTTGTTCCTTGGACTGCAGGAGGTTGCCGGGGCACACCACTGTGTTGAATGTGGTTGCACTACTTTGTTGTAGCCGGAGCCGGAGGTTTAGCAAACATGTGCTTCATAGCTGGCGCTCTGCTACGCCTTGATGACTGATGAGGGCGGGGTGCGATGTTGCAGATGACCACCTTTCATCATCCAAGAACACAAAGGACGCCGTGCGACCATTGGTCTGTGAGCGATGTAGACCACGCACAACATGAACCAACCTACTTATTTGATCTTATCTGGACACAACTGAGAGTTCAATTGCGCCCTTGCCAGGAGTCTTATGAACAGAATTTGGTGTCACCGATCTCTGCTGCAATGGAGCGCTTTGGCGACAAGGACGACTTCACGAGTGCTGTATTGGCCCAGCAAGATCGGCTGGTGCTGTCAGGTGTCAACTTACATTCTGGCTTCGTCCTGTAAGGCTTAGTCAATTATCGGTCATGAGTCTTCATTTGAAGGATATCCGTGGACATCCATCAAGGGACTCTGGCAGAGGCAGAATTCCTTGCTGTGTCCTTGCGGTGGCAGCGTAGTGGCGAATTCTAGCAAAACACCTGGCTTCATTCTTAGCAGTTGCTGTCGGAAAAATCCTGGGAGAGCATGTTCAACCGTGAAGAAGAGCCAGCCCCCTAACCGCAACCGCAGGCAAGAGCAGGAGCTCATTGAAGTGTATATGATCAGACTGTGGACTGGCTGCTGGCACTTGTTACAGCATGTTGAAGCAGTACGGCATTTTCTGAGTATGCTCAAGTAGGCTCGGGCCTGTGTTCCCACCACGGTGGAATGTCAGGCAGCTTCGGAACGTGGCTTGCAGACATGTACATACAGCTGCGAGTGTAGCGCAGGGTTCCCGATTTTCTTGCAGCCATGTCCAACGTGCGATCCCCAAAAGTGTTGCAGGGTGTAGCAAATGAATCAAATGAAACCGCCAACAGTGACTCATCATCGTGAAGAAGACAAAGAAAATGGAATCTACGTGATTTGTATAAACTCATCTATTGGAATTGGGCCACGAGTGTGGTGTCAGTGCGTGAGGGTATGTGAAGTGTGTGTGTGTGTGGTAGATGAATATCGTATATCTAGAATCGGTATTACATAATGTATATACATACATATATATATATATGCATATATATGCTGCCCCCCCCCCCCCGGCCCAAAGATCCATACTTTGTCAGTGTTGTCGTGTGTTTTGTGAATGCTTGCGAGCAGCACTGTATGTGAGGCAGACGAACGAGATTCAGGGTTTATAGAAATTGTATAGGGATTGGGTCCCAAGAACGTTTTGACCGAAAGTTTTGACCGAAAGTTTTGACTTTGGATCCTATTGTTGTGCCTTTTTGTGGGGCCGGTGGACCGGTCCGTTTCTTGTGCTTCTGGGACCTATTTTGGGGGGGCCTGCCGGAGAAGTTTCATATTATTTTGAGATTTTCAATGGAAACTCTAGAGCCAATTTTGGGCTTGGGGAGCAAATCTTGGGATTTTGGGCTTTGGGGCCAATTTTGTTGGGGGCCAATTTTGGGCTTTGGTGCTGGGAGCCAATTTTGGGCTCGGAAGCCAATTTGGGCTTAGGGAGCAATTTTGAGCTTTCGGGGCAAATTTTGGTGCCAATTTCGGGCTTTGGGGGCAAATTTTGGGCTTTGGAGCCAGTCTTGAGCTGTGGGAGCCAATTTTTGCCTCCGGAGCCAGCTTTGGGCTGTGAAAGCCAATTTTGGGCTCCAGAAGCCAATTCAATTTTGGGCTTGGTTGGGGAGAAATTTTGGGTTTTGGGGGCTAATTTGGGCTTTGGGGGCAAATTTTTTGTGGATCTGGGCGAATTCGTCCAGCTTTTTGGGCCTTTTGGGATCTCGTGGGCCGGCGGCGGGCGAACTTTCGAGGTTGCGTTGTATGGCTTGCTCAGCTGACCATAGATGTGTTCTTTGCTGGGCCGTGAACATCATGTGGGGGGGGGGGGCGGGCCAATTTTGGGCTCAGGAACCCATTTTTGGCTTGGGGTTGGGCG